CGCAGGCCGCGTCAGCGTGCCACGTCGTCAACACGTGGCGACACGTCAGCAAAGGGTGCCACATGTCCGTCCACGAAGCGGTCCAGGTCATCGCCACGCGGCAGCCAAGTCAGCGCCACGTGGCCATCCACGTCACCGGAACGTGGCCAACTGTCAGTGACACGTCAGCAAAGGTATGCCACGTGTCTGCCCCGTCAACTAGAGGCAGGGAGGGATCCAGTGCTACGCGGCAATGGTGCAGCCGCAGGAGGAGGAAGGTTCCAGTGCTTTGCGGCGAAGGTACAGCCGCAGATTTGAGGCGTACAAAATGTTTTGGCTAGATCGAAGCCATTTCATTTGGAGTCCGTTTTTGGTGATCCAATAGTGGTTTCCGACTATTTGGAGTATTCCGGACACATCCGTACGGTCAGATTTTGGAGAGGGCAGAGGTAGAGGAAGAAGTAAAAGTAGAGGGCGTTCACAGTCCAGACAGGACAACACGAGGAGGTGTTTTTACTGTGATCAAGAGGATCACGTAATAAGAGATTGCCCAGAGAAAAAGGCGGACAGACAAGCCAAAGAGAAGGCTAAGGGACATGGAGGTCCCTCAACTACAGCAGTTGCAGTGAATTCCTCTGATGATGAAGAGGTGATGCTTACAATCTCGTCAGAGTTGGAAACACCCGGTTGGATTTTGGATTCAGGGTGTACGTTCCACATATGTGCGGATAGGAAGCTTTTCTCCACTTACCGAAGAGTCAGTGGTAGCATTATCCGGATGGCCAACAACACAGTGAACAGAGTTGTCGGCATAGGGACAGTGCGGTTCCTTACTAAGGCTGGAAGAAAAGTAATTTTATCTGAGGTCCGACATGTGCCAGGAGTACGGAGGAATCTAATCTCCCTGAGTATGCTAGATCTAAAAGGAAATTGTTTCTCATCTAGTGGGGGGGTTCTTCATGTACGCAGAGGTGATAGAGAAATGTTGCAAGGCAAATTGTGCAACAAACTGTACAGACTGGAAGGAGAAGTTTTGACAAAGATGAGTGTTGTCAAATGCCAGTCGAAGGGTACAAAGAGAGAACATACGCAACCAAAGCGTATGATTGAGCAAGGCTTTCATCAGGAATGGCGAAAACGGTACACGAGAATGCAAGGAGGCAGTTCAAAGGTGCACAGATCTGAGCCAGTGAAGCCAATCTTGAAGAAAGTTCAGAGCAAAGAAACCAAGTCTGTAGAGACTATGCCAGTGAAGAAGAGAGTTTCTTTTGCTTCCGTGTTAGAGACATTTTGCAACCTCTCAAAAGATGCATGGAAGGGAGGGATGCAATCTCGAGTCGCAAAGTGAGCTTTGCAATGCACTCCAATAAGGGGGTGCAAGCACTATGCACGGAGTTGCATAGTGGTAACTTGTACAGACCGGTGGAAGTTGTCTTGGCAGAAGGGCTAACTGTCAAACATCAGTACGGACGTACAAGTGAGACAGAACCGAACATCAGGGATTGCAGCACAGACAACGGGCGTATGAGATCGCTGGGAAGTTGTTCTGAAGTGCAGAAAGCAAAGGCTGGTTGTTCAGAAATAAGCTCCGAGCAAGGAAAATTGAGGATGTTGATGTGTCAAACTCTGAAGTTTTCTAGTTGCTCCCGTGTTCATCATGCAAAGAGTTGCACGGTAATGCAAGGGTATCCTGAGCAGGGGGTACAGGGCATCCAATCAGGGAGAGCTGTGTCTTGGCAGTCTAAGCTGCAGAAGTGTGTTGCTTTATCCAACACCGAGGCAGAGTATATTGCCGCAGCGAAAGCCGAGAAAGAAGTTAGTTGTCCATGTGGGCGTGGAGGGAGAGAATTGTTGGCTCCATCCACTACCCACATGGTAAGGAGCCCACCATCCACATGGTGTGGGTGGCACCATGTGGTAAAAGAAGCTGGTGGAGGGCAACACCAACTCACTAAAGGAAGATAGTGAGGGTGGCACCACTTTGGCCAATTATGGCTATCACTTCACCTTCTCCTCCTCTCTTGGTTATAAATTGAGATGAGTGAGGAGGGGTTGGAAATCATCAGAAATTGGAGAGTGAGAGCTGTGAGTTTTCATCTCCTCCTCTGTATTTGTATTTTGCTCCATTTTAGTGAAAACTTCTCGTTTCTATCCGTGGATGTAGGCATTGGGCCGAACCACGTAAATATTGTGTTATCTGTGTGTGTGAGATATTTTTCTAGGTGTGTTTGATCCTAACAGAACTAACATTGTCATGTGCAGTCAAATGGCATGGGGGTGTTAAATTTGAGCGCACTTTCATTTGTAAAAGCAACTTCATGGCCAATTTAAGTCACCCAGTTGGATGTTTTCATGTTAGAAATAGAGAATTCAAACTAGGAAACAACAGAACCAGAACCAGCAATATTTCGTACATTAATTGGCTAACTTTCCCTATCTGCTGCATTAAAATTTCATTCCGTAAGTTCATTGTAAAGCTTGGTCCATCTTCAATTTGTCAGCATCAGTGTCGAAAAGGATAACATTGCTTTTTTTTTTTTTTCTTTTGGGATAAGTAAATGTTTTTTTTTTTTTTTTTTTTTAATGATTGTCATTGCATGTCATTTGTGTTGAAGGGGTAGTCTTAGTGCACAAGATGTATGCAGTCCTACTCTGCATGTTCATTTCAGTTTAAGCAGACAGAAAACGAGTTGGAAATAACCTAGAGCATCTCCAATCAACATGCCAAATCTCATATGACAACTCAGAAAAGCAATATTTGGCTTCTCTACAAGCTACAAGCTACAACCAAAATGCCATTTGCCTATGTGGCTTTTGGCATTGCCCTACCCATGTCCAATTTGGTGTACGATGGGAGATGTTAATTTTTATTTTTATTTTTTTCTTTTGCTTTGTTTATTATGTGAGACCTACATTAAAAAGAGATTAAATTAAAATATATAATAAAATGAAAAATTTAACATATTGGATGTAGTATTTATTTTAAGAGACTGTCATGCTCTAGTATTTTGCCAAACAAACTACAATTGACAACTCTGATTGGTGTCAACTGTTTTATAAAGTGGCCATATAAGAATCAACATTTCACACACATATACACAAACAGAGAGAGAGAGAGAGAGAGAGAGAGGGTTCATACCCGGGGAGGAGGGGGTAATTGGAGTCACCCCAGTCGTTTTTAATTCTGTGAAGATCAGTGTGACAGATACCACAATACAACACTTTGAGCCTCACGTCTTCACCCCCCGTTGCCCTGCAAACATCATATCCACAATTACGTTACATATATATTTATATATATAGATATACATATAGATCCAACACCAGTCAGAACCATCATAGATCATAAAAAAGCAAGAAATAATGAAAGAACATGTATAAATGCTTGTGTGGTGCATGTATAATGGAGAACTAACTCGATTCATTTTTCTTACAAATTGCCTGAATTATAAAGTAGCAAAAAGAGAGACAATAACAAATTCACAGTCGATGCCCTTATACCATCAAAGAAGATGGAGAGAGCGAAAGTGAAAGTGAAAGTGAAAGTGAAAGTACCTTCTTGAGAACTTGAAAGGAGAAAGTATACCAGACTGGTCTCTGGCCGCCCATCCAAACGCCGTCACTGCATGTACTTCCTCCGCTGATGACTCCATTAATTACCTGCAATTTCTAAGAAATGCAGAGAGAGAGAGAGAGATCATGGAGAGTATGTGTGCAAGTGTAAGAGTATTTATATACATGTGGGGGCATGGGAAGGGAAATGATCCAGACCCCCAGCACCCGACACAATTGTGAGAGAGGGGGAGGACAGAGCGGAGGAAAAAAAACAAATAATAATAATAATAATAATAATAATAATGTGTGGTCTAAAATCAGTTGAGGGTTGTGGGCTCAAAAATGACGGGCGTCTCAAGTATTTTCCGCATGGAAGTTGGCTGACGTAACTGCCGAAGTAGGTCCTGTCTCCTTGGTCAATGCTGTGCTAAGCTCTACACAGTTTGTCAAAGATGATAAAACTCAAATTAGAAAATATATCTATCGCTTGTTATTTCTTTTTCTATTTTGTTGTTGGCTTATTTTGAAATTACTATTTTATCCTTAACTTGGTTGGTGAAACAATTTGTGTGGTGATATCTTGAAAATTATGTAAGACATTTTGGTTGCTTTGGTTGTTGTTGGCTTATTTTGAAATTATTATTTTATCCTTAACTTGGTTGGTGAAACAATTTGTGTGGTGATGTCTTGAAAATTATGTAAAACATTTTGGTTGCTTTGGTTGTTGTTGGCTTATTTTGAAATTATTATTTTATCCTTAACTTGGTTGGTGAAACAATTTGTGTGGTGATGTCTTGAAAATTATGTAAGACATTTTGGTTGCTTTGGTTGGAAGGTTTGTTTTAGGATGCTTATTTTGGAAAAATTCTATTCCCATACACCACATTATCTCTATATATATCATTTCTCACTCTACACACTTAGTAATTTGATTCTTAGGTATTTATCTCAGTCCACACACCACACATTCTAAATATACTTATTTAATAAAAAATGTGTACACACCCTCATATTAGCCCACACAAATTTCCAAAATAGCCCTCCCTTCAACTTTCACATCCCACCCTCCACCTTGCACGATCCAGCCTCTCCATCATCGTCTAGCCTCTCCATCCTCGACAGGCATTCTCCGGTAGCCTGCAGCCTCCAGCCAAACACTTTGTACGAATTTTAACAGGACTTCCAAAAAGTTTAGAAAAGTTTGTCACACATGAACCTAGAATAACAAGAGCTTCAAAGCAAAATAGGGCAAGAGTTTACCTGCTCACGGACATCATCACAGGCAGAGCTTAAAAGTAGCACTAACTTGGGGACAACACAATGTTCAATGACAACTCGAGTATGCTCTGATGTCCCAGATGCAGCATTGGTCAAAGCCTATGATGCTTCAAACTGAGAACAAAGACAAAATCAAGCTTGTGCTAGATTGATTACATCAATCAAAAATAGAGCCAGTTCAGTGAAAAAAAAGTTACCTTTCATAAACTTATCTCAACTAGTCTGATTCGACGGTGCTAGCTATGGACTCTCTGACGCGATTCTAGCAGAGATCAGCAAGCTTTAGAACATGGACACTCTGTTCCTTCAAGTGAACGCGTTTGTGGGAGCATTAACGACTAAGTGTGGTTACTCGAAGAGCTTTGAAATCTATGGATCTGTCAAACAACATGTTTTCCAGCGAAATACCGGTGTCATTTGCCCAGCTCAAGAACTTGACCCTTCTTAATCTGTTTCAAAACAAGCTCCATGGTTCAATACCCGAGTTTATTGGTAATTTGTGAGATGAAATGGCTGGTGAGATGGTGGTGGGTGAGATGTATATGGAGAAATTGTGAGATGGTAATTTTGTTAAAGGATAAAATAGTAATTCTGAAAAAATTCATTAAGTGTGTGGAATAAGGAAATTTGGTATATGGAAATAGAATTTCCTCTTATTTTGCCCTTAACTTGTTTGGGAATTTTCTATTTTGCCCTTTTATTTTATATAATTTACTAATGGTATAACAATTATGCAAACATTCTAGTCAATTGTAAAACATAAATATTTCATTTTTTAATAAATTTCAAGTGCACCCGTAATGTTTGTTTAAAATATGAATTAGTCCTATAATAATACAAATTACAACTATCATTTGTTATAAATTTTAATTTAACCCAATAATCAGAAGAAGAAAAATAAATAACTATTCTCCTACGCAATAATAAATTATCAAAATTATTCATTGAAAAATATTTCTTATATCATTAAAAACTGTTAATTGACTTAATACTTTATTTATTAACAAAATGGTTAATTGAAAGATATTTTTCATATCATTAAAAATTGCTAATTGACTTAAGGATTTATATTTATTAATAAAATTGATCATTTGTTACGCGAGTATGATTTATTTATTAATAAAATAGGTCATTTGTATATATATGTATTATCTTCTGCATCTTTATTGGTTCAGTTTTTTTTTTTTTAGATGGGAATTTATCTTATCTCTTTTATACTAAAATGTATACTTTATTTTGTTTATCTTTATGTCTTCATACTTAATCTTCCTAAAAAAGAAAAGAATATAATTATAAAAATAAATAACTATTCTCCTACGCAATAATAAATTATCAAAATTATTCATTGAAAAATATTTCTTATATCATTAAAAACTGTTAATTGACTTAATACTTTATTTATTAACAAAATGGTTAATTGAAAGATATTTTTCATATCATTAAAAATTGCTAATTGACTTAAGGATTTATATTTATTAATAAAATTGATCATTTGTTATGCGAGTATGATTTATTTATTAATAAAATAAGTCATTTGTATATATATGTATTATCTTCTGCTTCTTTATTGGTTCAGTTTTTTTTTTTTTAGATGGGAATTTATCTTATCTCTTTTATACTAAAATGTATACTTTATTTTGTTTATCTTTATGTCTTCATACTTAATCTTCCTAAAAAAGAAAAGAATATAATTATGTTAAAACGATAGGCTTATTATATTTTTTCTAATTGTTATTATTTATAATATAATTTATATAAACGTGCCACTAAATATCATTTTTTTGTGGCATTTTCTAAAAATATGCCACTAGTGTAGTGCCACTAAAGTATGTTTTTGTTGTAGTGTATATTGAAATAATAATTTGTGCCTTACATGGACATTTGTAACTAGTATATATGTATTACATATAGCACGTGATTTTTTTTTCTTTTTTCGATTGGATTGAATGTGACGAGGATGAAAATTTTATCAGCAAATTTTGGACAATGAAGAAGCCAATCTTATAATTTCGATAAACTTGCAAAAGTTTCTGACATGAATTCCATCATTGATCTAAGCGAAATGTTATACTTTGGCTCCCTGTACAAAAACAGTTAAAGATTACATTTTAATAAATAAAATATTTTAATTTTATTAAAAATGTAATAAAAAAATTAATTTGATATTCTAATCACATTTAATTTGATTAAGTGTTATAATATTTATTTTTTATATCACTTTTTAATGAAGTGTGGTTATATACATATTTTTAATTAAGTGTGATTATATTTATTTGTTTATATATATATATATGTATACTAGCGGCCAGGCACACGCGATGCGTGTGTAAATTTATTTGAAAACTCAATTGATAAAATTTTTAATACATCCTCATTCAATTTGTTTTTTGTTTTTTTTTTTAATTTATATATTCAATTGCATAATTAAAATTTATGATAATTATATAAACCTCTAAAAAAAATAGAAAAACCTAATCTTTTTTAATAAAAGAAAACCAATCCGATTAAATGACGTTATCAAATGAGAAAAGGAAGCAAAACAATGATTTGGATGAGAACAATCTCATTAAATTAAATTAATAACCACTTGCAAAAAATTCTTTAATCTTTCCACCAAACTCATTCTTATCCGTCATTATTATCTCATGTCCAACCCATAATGCGCACAGTAATAATAAAACACAGCATTCAAGTTTCATTCAATTCCGATCTAACCACTCTCGCTCCGATTCAGCTTCACAGAGGACACATAGATCGCCTGATAATACAAAATAATGGTATAAAAAAACAGAATTTTTGTTCAAAACTTGTAATAACCCAACCTGTAATATACTTAATTACGCATGCGATTATGTGTTCGATATGAATTTGTATGTTTAATTTTGTTAAAACGTTTGAGAAATTATGATTATTATGAATTAAATCTATTTACGAGGTATCCAATATGAATATGAAATTTATCGACAATGATTTTGGATTTGATTTGAAATTGAGGGCCTTGGTGATTTACGAAACAAAAATTGATGATGATAATAAGCTTAATTTAATATTTGGAACCTCCTTGTTTTATTTTGGGCATTGATCGAAGTGGTAACATAATGGTAAAGTAGGAGTAAACCAAGAATTTAATTCGGATAATTTTTTCTACGAACAGTCGTCACTCTTTTGCCTTTTTCTTTTTCCACACTTTGAATTTGGGTGTGAGGCTAGAACTATTGGAAATCTTATTTCCGGGGCTTCGATTTGAACACAAGAATGACCTAGAACAGAGTCCGAATGAGAGAGTTATACCCGTTTGAAGTTTTGGAATCTGTGCTGGAAGCAGGTACGCTCGAGGGAAAAAAGAGACGCTCGAGCGGACCACGCAAATTCAGCAAGTTTAAAGGCACTTTTCTAGACCATTCTTTACATTTCCATCTCCTCTCTTCATTTCTCTCACCCTTGGTCCGAAAACCCTAGGTTTTTGACCCCAAATATCTTCCATTCCTCTAAGTTTTGGGCAAGATCCCTTACAAGAAAGTGAAGAGGCTTGAAGATCAACATGTTCTACCGATTAGAATTCGGATTTGTAAAGGAATCTCATCAAAGCTTTGCTCTTTTGCTCGATTCTTGGGGTAGAGGTCCTAGATCTTCTTCAATACTTGCATTAATAGATAGATTTGTGGTATTTTGATTATATAAAGGCAAAATTTATATTTTTGAGCATATGGTGTTATATCATGGGAATTGTAGTATTAGGATTCAATTGTTGGGGTAAGATTATGGATTATGAACCTTGGGTGTTTAATCAATGGGAAAATTGGAATAAAAAGAAGTAGTGTGAGAAGTTTTAATTTTTCTTGAAAGTCTTAATTTTTCTTAAAAACCTTAAGTTGAGTCATGATGACAATTAATGATTTTTCCCAAATTGAAAGTAACATCATAAAATTGAGAGGTTGAATTATATATATACAAGTTTAATTGTATTTTGGAAATGT